CTCCCCCCCTCTCTCCTCCTAACCCCCATTGATCTCTACAGTGAACCCACGCCTTAGGATCAAATTCCAAACAGGATAAGGATTCCAAGTTCTTCTCTAGACACAACTAATCACAAGCTCCTGAGCAGATGGACCTCCGTGGAAAGACTGGCTTTGATGATAAAAGGCCTGGCCTACCCCTGCTCCAAGACAACATGATTCAGCAGATGCCGACCGACCGGCTCTGACTCAGCCAGGCGACAGGCTGTCCTCCGAACAGCAAGGAGAGAAACTAGGTTTAGCTTCCTGCCACCTGAGAAGCTTAAATAGGTTTTCCTGACAGTGCATGTTATGAGCTATAAGGATGAGTTATTTGGTCCTGTCTGGCCTTGCTTTTTTTAGGTCATCTAACTCTCATGGAAGGAAAAAACAAAAAACAAAAAACAAAAAAAACAAAAAAAGACAACTTTCTGATAGTCCCTTGGATACTAAGCTTCCTGGTTTCCTGGCTTTGAAGGATTCCACAGCTTTTAATCCGTCCGTTCACAATACACACGGGTATCAAAACATCATCTTGCACACCGTTCATCTGTGCAATCGCAATTTTTATTCGCCAATTAGACCTTGGAGCTCCGGGGAAAAATAATTCCCTGGCGAGCTTGTCCACACAGACTGCCTTCTGGGTTTTGTCATTACACATAGCTCAAGAAAATATAACCTGCCTCTGCTGAAGATCGTTCAGACTGCCTTGCCATTCCCCCATACACGGTCGGAAAAAGAAAAAAACAAAAACAAAAAACAAAAAACAAAAACTTCTCTTTTTGCTAGTACTCTGCCCCACGTGGTAACCACCACTTACGCGGATGAGGGGACTTGGGACCACTGATTGCTCTGTCGGTCTTGCCCCAGCTGAATGCCTTGACCCTATCGGCACCCTCACCAAGACACCCCTTCACTTTAAACGTCTGAGTGATTTCTAAGTGGAAAAACAGCTGAAATATTTAATTCTTACCATAAAGGGCTTGCACAAAAGAAAGAGAGGAAAGAAAGGGAAGGTGGGAGGGAAGAGGAGAGAAGGGGTGGGGAGATGAAGTGGAAGGGGAGGGGAAAGGGAAGTAGAGACAAAGAGGGGGGATGGGAGGGGGAGGGGAGAGCCAAGTGGAGGCGAGGGAAGGGAGGGAAGGCAAGGGGAAGGGAGGTGGGAGGGGAGGGGGAGAGGCTAGTGGAGGCCAGGGGAGGGGAGTGAGGGGGAGGAGAGGGGGGAATCACTGTGTCCTGTCTCCCAGCAATGCCTTGCTGCTACTTGTTTTGCCCCCCATTTTGTTGATATCTTCATACAGAGGTGGTTAGACTTCCGGTATGCTAATTACAAGGCGCTTCCTGGGTGCTCTTTCCAGTTCACCCAGATGCTTTGTTCCTGTACCCAACTGGGTGGACCAAAGGTGCACACCGTGGCTCCGTGCTCCCAGAGTCCAAAAGATGAAGGACAGGACCATCTTAACCA